AGGCAGCTAAGATTGAGGTTGCTGTGCAGTACGCCGTGATATCTGATCTCGCGTAACGGTTATGTGGCACTAGCGTAGATTAATTTACAACACTGCTTACGATATCCTGATCATCTGGTAAGAGCTCTTGAAAATACGTTCGTAAGTTTAGTTCTGGCCATTCCTTTTCTGCCTGCTCAATATCGTAGAGGTTGTAATAATCGCTGAATCGTGACGTCTCCTCGTCGGTTGCAACACCATCGCCCAATTGCCTCTCAAATGTTATCACGTCTTCGATGTCTGCCTCCAGCTGTTTGTCATCCAGCGGTATACCTTCCTCTTCCGCTAACATCGAAATCACGTTGTTCATCACGTTCGACAACCTCTGCTCGGACGTGTCATTCGAAGAGTTTCTGGCATCAGGGATATCGACAGGGAAGGCTGGAAAAATATTTACCATACAACGAGTTGTGTTCTTCCAGTCAACAGTAATCACAGGGTTTATCATGATTGGTATCCCTTCCAGACGCAAAATGCGAGCAAAACGACGAAATATTTCGTCCGTCGCGAATGTGGTTGCGACCGATGAATTTAGCATGGGCCATCCGCCCAGTTCATTGATGATACCTATAAGGTTTCGACGACTTTCCTTGTTCATGCTGTGATTCACACATGACCTAAAATATGCCAGTTATTATTGATAGCAAGTTTGTCGTTCAAGTGTGAACAACCAAGCGTGAACGTAAAAAAACATTCAGTTAATTTATAGCGCCACCTGTAGAATTTGGCGGTCATTTCAATTGCAGGTATCTGTGAAGCGGTATCGATGCTTTCCAAAAATTCAATAATATTCCGATCGATTTTCTGCTGCATCTTTTCAAACAGTGTTAAGTCATCGAGCGAGTCACTGGATTCCATCGCGCCGCACATAAAATCATAGAAATCGTCGCATGGATCAGTTGAAATGTTCATTCCGGTTCTGAGTATGCGGGCTGCCTCATTCCAACCTTCGCTATGTGAAGCTGTGCAGTTCCGGCTGCTCGTTTTGGCCGTTTCACTGCCAATTTCATAATTGTCAACTAAAGCGAGCTTTTTGTTTTAAAGTTAGTCGAACTTAATACATACCTTGAGTGACGTTAGTCCAAGAATAACCGAAATTCTCAGCGTTCTTCTGCACAATGGCCAGCAACGAATCTTTGTTCAAATCAGCATTATTCGTAAAACTAATGGTGAAGTAAACAAGCGTAACTTCTTTGTTAAGTGGAACTTCTTGTTGTCTAAGGCACCAGATCGTCGTTATTCACATTTAATTATTACAGCTTTTTTGAAGCATTATGTGAAAATCATATACACTAAATAACTGAGCACGTAGCCTAGGTTGAGATGCTTTCCTATCGAACTCATTCTGAAATGATCGAGTCAAGATTTTCAAAGAAAACTCTCTCTTGTTTCGTACTATAATTCTTATTGTTTCCCTGTTTTGTATGAGCGTTCCCTTAAGCTGCTTGAATTACTAGAACGTCTCCGGTTTTCGATTTGTACTGCATTATCAGCATTTCAAAAGCTTTTTCATGGATTAGCGCTACAACATCACAGATCAAAAAATTGCTATCCTTCTGCAGATCTACTTTGGTTTTGTTTATCCGCACTGCAAGCTCGCTTCATTGTGAGCGTTTGCTGAGTTTCGGTTAACGCAAGCTCAAGAGGTTGAGCAAATGGTTCATGTTCAGCCAAGCCAGCATTTCTACTAGCGTCAATTTTTCTTCTAATCTCTAATTCTGCTGAGGTTACTGAGACTCAGAAGGGAGGCCACTGTTTACTTTTCATTGATTTGTCATTTAACATGGATAAACGATGAATCGTGTTGCAGAGTGGCTCAACAAAATTGCCCGTTGATACTCACCGAAAGTCAGTGCAACACGGCTATGAGAGTACAACAACGAGTCAACGTCTAGAAAACGACGAGAATGAGACGGCCCTTCCCGATCGACAACTTGAAACACTACGAATTGATAAACAATTTGAGTTGTATTAAATCGCCACAACAAATGGGGGCAATACCGATCCAGCAAATAGTCAGCACACTGGACTGTCACCAATAAATGTCAGAAAGAATATGAAAAAATTGAACCATAAAAATGGCAGCGACGATTACCGCCTTGAGCACAGCCTTATTTGCATTGTCGTTGTGCTCGTTCACAATCTGAAAATACATGTTCTTCTGCGGCATTATAAGGCCTGTCTCCATAGCTTTAGCTAAAAGAAAAGCTCTGCCTACGAAATCTGCAAAAACTTTTCTCCGCTGGAAACTGTCCACTGATGGTGAACCCACTGGAGGATCATGAGAAACTCGAAACATCCCGCTGAAAGGACCTGTCTGCAACGAGAAAAGCCGGGTTTTATGCAACAGTTAATTTTATCTGTTATAATTCTATAGCAGAGGTAAAAGCCAAGACTAATTCCTGGGAGAAGTTCGGTGAGGTGTGGCAGTCGAATTTCTACACGGCAAACGAAGTATTCTGGCAGACCATCCGCCGGCTCCGAGGTGAAAAGACGGGTAGTCTCAGAGTCTTGAAACACAGATCTGGACACCCTCTTACCAAGGATGATGACATTCTTCCGCGATGGAGGGAGTACTTTGAGGAACTCCTTAACCCCGTGCAATAGCAGGAAGACTCGCCTCCAGAGCAGAAGGGTACTGATATTACTACCTCTGTAGATGAAATTGCACAGGCTGTGAAAAGCTTGAAAAATGGAAAAGCTGCCGGAA